CCAGTGAGCTAAAAATGATTGAAAAGACAGTTCAGCCCGGAGTAGAAAATTGTCATAGCGACACTGGTGACTCAAAGACAGATAGGATGTGTGGCACACAGGGAGCTTTAGTTAGAAATATTTAATATCAGGAAACACAGACATGACAAAAACGATTTTTTTGTTTTTTAAGGTACTGGCTTAGATGAAACATTCATTTTGAAAGATTTTTCAAGCCCAGGATGATACTTTAAGGTGAGGAGTGAGGAGAGGAGGGAGAAGAAGGAGCACAGTCCACCTGTAACCTGGTTTTTGGGGTATTTAGTGGAACATGGGACACCTCTAAGAAACTTAGAGTTTGGGCTTTCTCCAAAGCCCCTGAGACTGTCGTCTTCAGGTTTGAGAAGAAAACTCACTAGATGCATAATGAAATTGAGAAATCTTTATGACAGATGGGAACAACTTTCATTGTTTCGTTTCTTTTTTTTAAAAGGAAAAAAGTACTATTGTCACACAAAAATCTGTCTTAGGTAGTAAGTTCTTCCTCACACTCTGAAAGATAGAGAATGAGACATCTACCCAGAAACTGAGAAGAGAGAGAGAAACTTTGCAGCAGACTACCAGAACACCACTGACTTGTGAAGCAATATTTGTGCCTTTGCTATGTCCATCAGTAGATGGTTATAATTAGATTACGCTGAAAATTCATAGGCAGTACATTGAAAGGAAGAGCTGGACACATGTGAGGAGTACCAGCTGTCCCTCACCTGATTTTACTGTTAATTCACCACAGTCATATACATCTACTGGGCCTCACTGTGAAGTCACTGCTTCCCTGACTCACTCCTCAATTATCTTTCTAACTCTCTTGGAAAAACAAGCTCCATCATCCACAGGGACAACTTGTACACCCAGGAGGCTCCTTTCTTCGAGTGATCTGCATGGGAGCTCAGGAGAGGTAAAAAGCAGCTCCAGGAGCTGAAAGCAGCAGAGCTGTCTAAATGGCTGGCATCCCGCTTTGGAGAAGGCAAATTTCTTTCCAACTTCACTTATGCTTGGAACTGTAAGCCATATAATCTGTATTTTTTCAGGGAAGGAAATCATATTGATTTACATTTTAGTGGGAGTAGGTTTGTCTTCTGTGGAAATTTGGCTTTAAAATGTCTTCAGAAATGCTGATGGATGGATGGACCCCTACTATATCTAAAATAAATATTTGCCATTCTGCACCTCTTTTTTGCTAATGATAAATGGAGACTCCCATTCCCTATTCGCTCTCAAGAAAAAGACAACTCCTCTTAGTAATACAGCTGTTCTGAATTTAATAAACAAACTACACACCAGATGCTGCCTACTGTTATAAGTATGAAGCCTCACAGATTTTCTGGTGCCAGAAAAAAGGAGGAAAAGGAAGAAGGTTTTTTTTTAGCACAGTGTGTTACAAAAGCCTTTCATGTGTGTTACACTGTTAATTATCAATGCTGCATAATTAAAAATAAAGGTCAAATGAGAGCTGATTGAAATACTGACCCATTTTCTTTAAATGGTTTGATTTAATTGTGTAGACTTTAAGTTATAGACAAACATACACGACTTTCTTAAACTTTTGGACAGTCCAGAGACCTTGGCTGTGGGGAAGCCAGGCAGAAAGATTGCAGCTATTTCAGAGTAAAGTTTGGAAACCTACAGGTGATGATGCTAACGTCACTTTTTTATGGACAATGTTGTTTTTTATTGAGTCAGAAAGAAACCAAATATGAACAGCTTCCAGAAAAAAAGAGACTTTCTTTTTTCTCCCTGATTATAGTCAAAATCCTTGTTAATGACAAAGCTGTAATTTGCATTGTCATGGTGACAGGATTTCACACAGGTGAAATGCACACGTTTGTTATATGATCACATATGATGCACAATCAGTTTAGTAGAAAAAGTAAGTAAGCACTGTAAACAAACATTTCCTGTTATGTTGGCAAATTACCCTCAAGTGATTGATTGGTTATTTTGGTCAGCAGATTTGAATATGATAAACTGTTGGAAAATGTTCTGACTAAACTAATCTGAGACCATCACTCCTGTCAGATGCTAGAATTTTATTTTAAAAATTAGTTTAAATTACATTGAAACTTCCAGAAATCAATTACATTGATTTCCATTACATCTCCTATACTGTTTAACAGATTAGATAATGGTTGCTATCATAACATTTATCTTTCATGTACCCTGTTACCAAGGTACTCTGGTCTTTATCATTGTTTTATCAAAAAAATGATCATAATTACACATGTCAATATGATCCTCACAGTCCATCTGAGTAGCTGTAATGAAAACATTGCCATATTCAGTACATCACCTGTCCTAACTTTCTTGAAAGTAGGCATTACTGAGTCTATTGTGTTCTGACAACATAATCTCAGTCCTGATGCTAAGATTTAGCCTTTGACTGCTGAATTTCCCATTAAAATTATGGCTTTTGCAATTTTATGTGATATTCCACTGTTGTTAACTCTATTCATTCTCCTTTAGTAGCTTTGAACATTTGTGGGTTAATACAGTAAACATTGTTTTGTGGTCTTTGAAGTGAGGATTTCTTCTTAATATCCAAAATGAAATCTGTTGAAACATGCATAATCATTCTAAAATTTTCTGTGTTCAGTTTTAATGGGTTACCTCTGAAAGCAAATTAAAAACAAAAACCACAACTTGCATCAGTGCTGTAATTTATTTTTCACGTTGAAGTAATAAATGTCTCAGTGAATAAGTATAGTTACATTTGATAATGATTCAGAATCAGTAAATTGAAGGCAACTGCTGCCTACTGAGACACTGCACGTGCAGTCCAGCTCCCAAGAACAGCTCCAGCTCACAGAATCACATAATCACAGAATCACAGAATGGGTGAGGTTTGAAGTGACCACAGTGGATCACCTGGTCCAACCTCCCTACTCAGTCAGGGTCATCCCAGGGCACATTGCACAGGATTGCATCCAGATGGTTCTTGAATATCTCCAGTGAGGGAGACTCCACAACCTCTCTGGGCAATCTGTTCCAGTGTGCTGCTACTCGTACAGTAACGACATTTTGCATGGAAGCAGCTGAAACTGGTTTATCCATCTTTGGGGATAATCCTTCATAAAAATCCCACAGAACTGGGATGATTTTTGTGTCTGACATTCAGGTTTTGGGAGCTTTCCATGGACAGAGTTCTGTGATATCTCTTAGGGTATTGGGATAGATCAACCCTTACCAGAACACCGAGGCACAGGTTCCTCTCCTTTTGCTCTTTTGCTGGAAATCTCTACCCCATTTTTCATTTTTTTTTCTGATTGTCTCTTTTGGAATGCCTAAGTTTGGCCAGAGTTCAGGAAGTCTGCACTGCAGTTATAATACTATGCACTGAGTTATCAGTAGAAAAATCTGCAATACAATAAACATTAAAAATTTGGGGTTGGTGCCAAAGCAATTCAGTTAATATTTAAAAGAAAAATCTCACAGGGCTCTGCAGCACTGGTTATGTAATTAATTGCATCTAATTTTTTATTAGTCTCCACTTTAAAAGAACACAAAATGTCAAGAATTTCTGGATTGTGCAGCATAGACGGTTTACACAATCAAAGGACTTTTCCCTTTTCCTTAGGACTTAGCTCCTCTTTCTTGAACAGGTAATTGTCTTCTTTATAATTTCTTACTTTGTTGGCTGCTAGCAGAAGAGAAATTTAAATTGTGGCAAACCAAAAAATTACCTTATTAGAAGAGTTATTGTATGCAAAGGATGCGCAAATAGAAACATTGGAAATTAAGTAGAGTCTCATATTTATGAACACGAATGCTCTTTCTTTTCTTTCTTTCATTCCCAAATTAATTTCCTCTGTAGATGTAATAGCTCCCTTAATCTCAGAAAAACGCAATGTAGGAACAGAATATTTAACCTTTAGGGACTATTAAAGAAATGTATGCGCAATACCTCACGAAAAGGCATCTCCGTCTCCTGACAAGATATCACCATGCATAGTAGGAAAATAAGAGGAGAAATAATATTATGGAAGACATAAACTTCTGGCAGAACTCCCTCGATACAATTATGTTTTGACAAAGATTAGGCTGGTTTGTTTTTTGAGCAGCAGTTTGTAAGATCCAGTCCAAGAAGAGGAGGGTCCCTCCTGTAAGCTCCCCGAGTGAGAACAGCCTTCATCACACACCCTAGTTCTTAGGGATCCCTCTTCCTCCTTGTCCAAAAGTCCGTGGAGGTCTACAAACAGCTGAGAGCACCCTGGACACACACCTTGGTTGCACCAGCTGAAAATAGTCACCAGATCACCTACATGCGGGCTGAGGCTAACAAAAAGACCTGATGAGTCCATCAGCTCCTTTACCAGCAGTGTGGAGCAGGTACAACAGAGGACTTGCCTTAGAGGGCTTGGACTTTGTTGCCTGTTGATAAGCTTCCAGACGGATAATAATAGTATCAGTTACCACTGAATAAACACACAGTGGGAGAAATCAAAATCACACTCAGCTTCTCCTGAAACAAAGTTGCTAAAGAGAAGTGTAGAAAAGATGTGGAGATGGGTAGAAAGAGATGGACCAGGGGAGATTTTCAAAGAGTTCTCTCTGTAAAATGATGCATGTGCAAGTTTAGGAAAAAAATTAAAAGCAAAGACCCTGTGCTTGGTACCTGCTGTACCAGGGCAAAAGAAAAAGCCAATAAGAATTGCCTTAAACTTCCTAGAGACAGTAAATACTGAATGACAAGACCTGCTCCAGGGGGAACCCTTGGAGAAGTGGGACACATTGTTATGGCTGGTGTAAGACTCATGTGATCTGAACACTTAGACAGTGACTCATGCACACTAATCTGGGCCCAGAGGAACAGACCACCTGTCAGGGCCAGGTGGGATGGGGCCCTAAACAGCCTTTTCTAGTGAATGGCATGCCTGCCCATGGCAGGGGGATTGGAACTAGATGATCTTTAAAGTCCCTTCCAACCCAAATGATTCTATGGTTCTGTCATTCTATGATGCTATCATTATACTCTGAAGCAAGCAAACAAACAAACAGGAAAAAGCATGGAATACAAGTGGCTCAAAACCTATGCTTTTTGTTATTAGACATACTATATAAATAGTTTGTAAATACTTTCTGGTAAAAGTGCTTAAGTATACTTTATCCTAACGTGCTGTGTGTTTCTATTTTAATTTCATGCCCAAATCGATAGCTAATTATAATTTGACAAGAAAAAGTGATTGCAATGGATAAGATCTACCTGCTCTGCTGCTAAATTGTAATGTGGTTGGCTGGATTTACAGTGTTACTACAATTTGTCTATACCATTCCAGAGTCAACGTAAGAATCAGGAAGTAAATTTCTGGCAAATCATTTCAACACCACAAAGCATTGCCCCAGAAGTCCTTTGTCTGCGTTTGATAGAAGAAGGAAGATTTTGATGTCTAATTGTTGACACTCATTTGGCCAGGATTGAAACAGCTTCCACCTTGGGTCTTATGACCAGATGCAAAAAACTCTATCCAGGACCATGGTCATTTAGGCAATGATTATTAAAGCAATGTATGCTTGAAGAATCTGAGAGTACAATTGCTATCACAATTAACATCCTAGTCCTTCTCTAGGCCTATCATACAAACTCACATGCCCCACACAAATACATACATATGAGAGAGGTTTTCTCCCTCATCCTGCAAACTTGTTAAGAAATGGACAACTGGATACGTAAAAAATTCTCTTCTTTGATTTTCATGCTTACCAGTCATTAAAGGGCTACTTTCCAGAGCAGCACAAAAAAAAGAAGAGCTGGTTGACCAAAAGTTTTTTTTCTTACAAAGAGGTGTCAACCCTGAGCTTGTAATTAAGAAGTTAAAATCTGTGATTTATATATATTTATATATATAAAAATAGATGATCATACTAAGACTAAAAAAGTGAAAGAAATCTCCATGTCAGTACTATATATTTGTTTGTTCTGAGATTTTGTAGACGAAATCCTTGTGACACTCAAATTAACTGATATGAAAGATGAAGTTAGGTGTGAAACACACTATTGATCCGGTTGTTGTTAGTCCATTAGAGAATTGCCATTTTGGTAGGATAATGAACATAGTAGCAGAAAGTTCTAATCGATGTCAGAACAGTAACAAAAGGAAAAAGATTTTATCACAAGAGATTATATTCTGTCTGAACCCTTGAGGGGTCAAGAGCGTTGTTTACATTACTGTCATGGCTGATGAGCTCACAGTGGTGAGCTAAGTAAAAACCAATTGCATAACATGGATAAATCCTAAAAGAAACTGTGCTACTACTCATATTTTTACTGGGCATTAAGACTTAAATCCTAAACAACTGTAACATGATATTCTGAAGCTAGTGGAGCTACTACCATACTAAAAGGTAAACTTATTTTTCAGCTTCTCTGCCTTCATACCAATCTGATGTGGTTGTCAGATGGAGTGCAAGACATTCACTGTTGAGACATACTTTTGTGTTGGAAAAAAAAACATCCAGCCTTCCTCCCTATAACAATGATCATTCTGATGACCTGAATCATCCTACAGAAGTTCCTAAGGAAACCCGGCTATCAGCGAAGAACACTTGCATTTTTTTGTTCCTTTCTTGTGGTTTTTTTTTTTTTTTGTTTAATTGATATTCTGTTGAAATGCAGCAGCCTTGAATCAGGCCTGATTTAGAAAGAAAACTGTTTTCTTAGTTTCTTTCCCCCTCTTTTTTCTCTGACTGGGGAAAAACACACACCATAAGATCCTTTTTCCCTTTTGCAGCATAAAAGGAAATGAAGCTCAGAAAGTCTCCTGTAGTAAAGGTTTGAGAAAGAATTCTCTCAAGAGTGGATATCGTCTTCAGAGATATCTGAAAAAAGCAGGAAGCAGTTCAGTCTGGTACCTGGTACTCTTTGGGAAAACTAAAATGGGAAGCAGGTTGCAGTACTGCTCTCTTGTAGAAAACTGCAAGTGTTTGTGGCATGGTCCATTGTCCAAGAGTATAAGAAAAGAAGAAAGTTGGCTGTTTCTGTAGCTAAAAGACAGTTTCTCCCACAAGATCCAGGATTATCTCCACTGTCTCTGCAGTATGAGACTGATGAAGATGACAAGCAACGTCTGCAGTGACCAGCCAGGCTGTGTGGCTGAAGCCTCCACCTCCCTCCTGTCTGAGTCGACAGGTGGTGCTTCAGTGGTGATGAAATCAAACTCGGTGGGACAGATGTCATCTGTACAGCCGCTTCCACTGCCTGAGCCGCTGGTTTCATCACCTGGCAGAAAGGAGTGAGGGAAACAGCATGAGTGTTGTTGGTTATAGCTTTCATCCCTTCTCTCCATTCCCCTTCCATCTGGCACCCCAGTGGGATAAACACATTGGGAATGGGAAAGTGGTGGTGATGCTAAATTTCATTCAGTAAAGCATCCAAATAAAAGCCACTGTTACTTAATGAGATGATTAAGTGCTCTTCTGACAAAGAAGTGGACTGTTGGCATTATGGAAAGCTCTCAATGTCTTGATACACTAGACATGAAGATTAATAAAAGAAGCAAAAGAAAGAACCATATAACTGGAGCTTCATGTGACAGAAGAAGAACTCTTATGTTGACAGCAGTGCAGAGCACAAAGATTAAAGAAAGTCATTGCAATGGAACCAGTTAATAAATGTGTTCCAAAAAGACATTTATGTAATGACAGTTAATGGTTTCTTACTTGTATCCTGGAAGTTGACATCATTCCCATTATACGCGTTTTTCAGTTTGTTAGTCATGACACGTAAGGCCATGATTTGTTGTCGAATGAAGGTGTCTGGCCTTGTGATGTCCACATCTACTTCTGGATTGTTGATCTGGTTGGTCAACCCATCATTCATAATCTCAGGCAAGTATCTACATAGCAGGATGAATCATTAGTTTAAGATGCAGTAATTTCAGAAATAAAACACTGTGCAGTAAATGGTGTGGTAAGCAATTCAATATGCAGTTCTTGAACAGATCTAGTGGACCTATTTTAAAAATATAGTTTTTAATTTTACTGACTCTGGAGGATCTTTTTAGTAGCTTAGCTACTACAGGGAGCAAAAAGCATTTAGGTTTTTCAACCTCTTAACTTTACATATACTCTCCACCAAGTGCACTGACTGTGTGAGCTATGGAAAAGGTTCAGAGCCAGCAGTAAGTCACTGCATGTTCATATCCTCTACCGACGTGAATGGTTATACACTAAATTAAACATCTAACAGTGCATTCTTCTGTTTTTACCTCTTTCTGCTTAAAAAATACGAAGTCCTTTGTTATATAGAGCATATTTTTTGTTCTGAGACAGTTCAGAAGCCTATCTTGAGGCATTATGGCTTTATTTAAAAACCAATAAATTTTCTTCTCCAATTCTTTCTTGCATCCCTTTTTTGGGCCACTCTGAACAGTATCTCCAGCCTATATGACATCCAGGCCCGTAAAAGGGGTTGTGATTTTACCAAACTCCAGTATTTTCTTTGATTTTGTCCTTATTCCTTAAAACCAGGCTACACTTGCATCTTTCATGTACTTTGTGCATAACATTTAAGGTATGGCATTTCCTACCCATCCATCCAACTGAATTTTTTATTCAGGTTCTTAGCTTTTAATTTCTTGATTACTGCAGCATTCCTTTTTCTGACCTTGACAAATACAGTCTTAGTCTGCTCACAAGCAGCAAGTGTGCTTTTGCAGGTAACTCTCCCCTACAAAAAAGCAGCCTCCAATCATCCTAGAGTAAAAATCTCCATCCCCTTTTGTTACAAAGATGCACGCTTTATTCCCTGCTGCTCTTTTGTCCTCAGAAAGCTCTCTTTATAGGCATCAGTAAAGCTACCTTTTTTTCTGCTTTGAATCTCTGTTAAAAATTGTCTGTGCGTTTTACAGCTGCCAGGCTGATAAAAGGTTGACATTGTTTCTCTGTGCTGGTATTTTACCCTGAGAAAATAGTGTATCACTGCTTCCCTGTTCTCTCTTGCCTGTCTTTACCTACTATCCTTGTCTCACATTTAGACTGCAAGGGATTTGGGGCAGATCAACCCTTTGTATATGTTTTTTATAAGGATATGATCTATTTTGTAATTAGTGTGCATACCAGGCTATGCTGCCGATGTTCGTTAGACTCCTCATGTGGATATGTGCTTAGACAGTAAATAATGATAGCACAGTCTAGCCTACTAATGACAAACGTTCACAATGCCTGGTACCAAATATAGTTTAAGAATATTTCATATCACTCTCACTTGAGCACACACAATTCTCTATCAGTATTCAAATTTGGTATTGATGACAGTATTGTTCATACTGGTCTGGAAAAATAAATATATCTTAAAAATAAATGTGAAAGTAAGGGAGAAGAAAGGACTTTCTCCGCTGAAGTCATGGTTAAGGGAAAATAAGTTTTGTGTTGCTTCTGGAGGTTCACAAAATGGCAACTGCTTTGCTGCACCAAGGAAGGGTTTAGTCTCATCGTAATAGGTTCTAGCTTTGCAAGATGAGACTCATTTGTCGCCAGTGGCCTTTGAAAGCTTACATGAGAATAATCCCAGGGGAGTGTGAACATATAAGAACCAAACACGATTGCCAAAAATATCCAGCCTCAAACTGCATGTCCTGTTGTTTCACTAGTAACATGATGTGAAATAACGATGCTGGGGGATCCCATCCAGACTCCTGTGGTAAGTCTTATTACGGTGAGAATACAGAGCCAGCACCCCTAGCACAGAGGACTGCAGACTACAATGTTATGAATCACTAAAGATAGAATAGGAAATAATTATTCAAAGATGCCTGGAAGCAGCAGGATGGAGACCTTGGCAGGCAGGGATGCCCTGGGCTGTGAAAGAACAGATCTCCATCTGTCACACGTCTCTACAAATGAAATGGCTGCTGTACATAAATTACTCATTCTAGAATTAAATCAGCAATTTCAAGGTGAAAGTTGATTAAAAAAAGCAAGGATGTAAGATTTGGCCTTCTGGCTCAGAGAGGATTTCCATCTTGCCCAGTATCCTGTCCATGAAAATGGCTACAGCTGTTAGCAACCAGAAGTGATCTGAAATTGCTGAATATTCATGTGGATTGCTCTCCTTGTTTTTGAAAGGTTAGCTGCTCTTTATTGCATACTATCCGTGAGAAGCTATGGCTAGCTCTGCATGGCAGCTCACAGGCTTTCTCTGACTGATTTCTGTTTGATTTCATTTTGTCTTATCATCAATAACAGAAGAAGATTCTAATTGCTTCTGAGAGCAATTAGAGAGTGCTCTGATGTGTGTGTTTCATCCAGGTTCATATTTTGCACTGTGGATAGTGTGGATCTGATGTCCTTCTGAAGACCATCTAACTTTAAATGGGCCAGCCCGTTCAGTTGTAGGAAGAGATTTTGTCAAACTGTCACATATCCTGCTGTATCTGCCCAGGATGTGGTGATCTCCAAAGCATTCCTGGCATGGAAGGGCTTAACCTCTCAGAAGAACAGTCCAGTGTACCTCACCTAGGTGTGTAAGGGAGTCATATTGGATGTAGGTCACAAGAAATCCATGGTCTTATGATTGCCTAATGTTAGGAGGATACTTAAATTCCCTTGGCATTTAAGGCATAGGAGCAAAATAATTAAAGAGGCTAAAAATTTATCTTTAGGTTTACACATATAATAAAACCTGTGTGTTCAAATGAAAGTGTCTGCATACAAGCAGAGTCTCACTCTTGCCAGATCCAGTCAACACAAGATCTAGTCACAGCTAGTCAGGAGTTTATTCATCAGTGGAGCGGGGACAGCTGTTAGAGTCCCATGTGCCTTTGGGCAAATGACTAGTTCATTATATTTCATCTGCTGGGATTTACTTGAATAAACATAGACATCTGGTGCCATTTGAATACTCTTGGTTATTTTTCCTCTTCTCATCACTAGCTCTAAAAGGTGAGGCTTTCTGGATCATATCTGCAGGCTTGAGGGGGAGATCTTGGACATTTGGGGCATATAAAATTATGGTGTGTGTCTTTAGGGCAGCTGCACTGAGTCTTGAATGCCACTTTAGCCACCAGGACTTAGGTTTGGTGTTGTGCTGCCACTCCAATAGGGTTTGAATATCCCGAAGGTCCAGGGTCTAATTTGTCAGCTACATGCAGGTATCTTGACTATTTAGACCATCTAACATAGCAGGAGGTAAGTGTGTTCAGGCAGTGGAAAACTGTCTCCGACTACACCGACAGGATATTGGGGCTGTCTTCAGGCACCTTAACGTTGGTGGTTTTAAAACCGCTCAAGCAGTTTTAACATAGCCCATGGTCCAGATGGGAGGTAGTGCCCTGTGTCATACTCATCTCAGATGTGCCAGAGAGTCTCCAATGATACTACTATTACATGGGCAACACACTCCTCATTGTCTTACCCTCATTTAAGTACATGAATTCACATGTCTGAATGTGTAGCTGGATTCTGGCCTCATTACTGAACAAGTTCACCTGCTTCCTCAGGGGAGGAAAAAACATTCAGAAAAACCTATATTGAATGTAAATATCTTTGAATTGTTTTCCTTTCTTTAAAGGACTGATGCAGACATGAGAACATGCAGCCCAAGGTGTTTCCTGAGCAACAACCTCGGAGAGGCAGCCCAGCACGTGTTCTGACAAAAGCATTTTGATGTGTGTGGGGTAGGGTTAAGTCACACTGAATAGGAAGCCATGTCTTGGGACCACTTTTTGACAGAAGATTTGTTGCTGGCTGGGAAAAGTTGTTGAACACAGCTGCTTTTGCTGCAGTACTGTAAGTGGAGACACCCTTGTGAATTTTGAGCTTTGCCGCTGCTTCTGCTCTAGTTAATGATCTCTTTGTAGGCTTGGCCATTACAAGAACTGTATGCCCATTATAAATGAAAAGAAGTGTCAACCTGAATCAGTGTCTGCTCTTTGCAGTCTCTGAGCAAAAAAAAAAAAAAAATCAAGCTTTCTTAGCCCTTTGAGTATAGAGAAGCTGTATAATACTGTTTGTTTTCTGCTGTTTGCTCCTTGCTCAGCTATGTCAGGATTTTAGTGTAATTTACATTGTTTTCTAAAATATTAATGCTTGCCATTCCTCTTAGCTTTTCCACAGTTCTTGAGTTCTCGCTTATCTCAGCAGACACAGCAAAGGTGTCTTTTGGCACATAATAACCAAGAACCACAAAGTCTATTTAAAACCACTTTTTTTCCCCCCTAATAACCATTTAATACTCCAGGGTTTCTACTTCCTTTTCAAGTCTAGAAATGACTGATGAATCTTTCAGGTCATTTATTGAAAGGCTGTAGATATGACACTACCCTCCCCCCATCCTGCTCCTGCCAAAAAAAAAAAAAAAGAGGAATCTTCTGATTTTTAAAACACATCTGGCTTAAAGGGTAACATTTCCCATATTTTGCTGCCACAGCAGCTGCTTAGAGTTCAACTGGAGCATGTCACCTAGGCAGTACTGGAGATTTTCCAAGTGCACAGAATTGTAGGCAATAGAGTACAAAATACAGCACAGGCTTAGTGAGGCTGGGCTGGGGGTACGCAGTCACATGTGGTCCAGAAAGATAAGTGCAGTGGAAAATTGGCTTGTTTGGCTAACTAGATCACCTCAACTGATTTTATTTGCTCAGGAGGTAATCCCCACAGGATATTTTCACTTTGTTTTTTTTTTTTTTGATCCATCTTGGAGAAAAGCTTGAGGAGACATAAGGAGAGGGAGAAAATAGCTCATCTGCCAACTTGCTGAAAGGAAGATGCAAAAATAGACTAGAGCCATCAATTAAGAATAGGCAGTTTTCACACTTAGTGAGAAGTGGTTTATTCACACTTTCACTAGTGGTGATAAACAATTATCTGTGCCTACCTCCAAGTGAAGGACATTTAACTCATTCTCACTGGAAGTCTTGCTGGTCAGCAGTGAGTAACTTCAGAAGGGAAAGCACTGATCTGGAGAGCCTTTCTTCCCACCTGAATTTCACCAGGAATTAAAGGGTCTCTGCTAGAGAAGTAGACATTCTCATATGTGTGGCAGGAGAAGAAGAGAATTTCAGACAGTTGAGAACCTATACTGTGTTCATTTTGGTGACATACTTTGTAGTTTTGAACTAGATGTTGAAAATTATAATGTTCATTTTTCCTTTTATTCCTTACCTTTCTCTATTTTTTTCCTGTTTATTTTTTTTCTATCTCATATAATTCTATTTCTCCTTCATTGCACTTGGAGGAATGAAGGGTTCCTTGTGGAAAGGAATGCAGGTCTCATCTCTTTCATGGATTACAGCCTCTCAGAGCTGAGATATACTCATAAGTCTATAGTCCTGATGAGCATGAGCACCAGTACGACACAATCTCTTGAATGTTTTGGTTGAAATGACCTGGCTGAGTTGGTTGGAGTAATTCAAGGTTCTTCTGAAGACCAGAGTGGTTTCAGATTTGGTTACTGTTGTGACTTCAGTAAAAGTCACCTGTTCAAGGACTAATACCTTGGACTTGGTTTAAGTCCCAAAGACTGAATTCCATAATTCTTGGGAAATTTTCTTAATTTCTGGAGAAAATGTATTAGTGAAGAGGTTATCAGTGGTTGTTAAGAATTTAATTGTATGTAGAGAGGGAGGTAAATTTTTAAAGTTTGATCTTCCTGTTGCTTTTTACATTCCATATAGCTTTCAAAAATCTGTCTCTGTGCATCTGGCAGAAGACATTAATTCTTTGAACATAAAACTATGTTCAAGTTCTTTTGTGATACAGATATGATGGAGAAATCCTGCTGGACATCTCTCTAAGTGGCACTTTGTCTGAAGTAGCTATTATTATTTTTAATTCGGATTTTTCAAAAAAAGAGATTCATCCATCTAATAAATATTTTCCCATTTCCACAGCATTTCATTTCTACCTGATGTGACCTGATTAAAACTGTTCTTCGTACAGGATCAGCAGTGAGTCAAGTGCACCCTTCCAGAACACCAAATGGATGACTCTGTTACTACATGGTTACTCACAAATTGGCAACGTCCATTTGGCAACCTGGTGTCACTGTAAATTAATCATGGCAGCAAAGTGATATTTAGGGAGTGTAATAACCACAAATGACCTTGGTGTAATGACTCTCTCAGGAGGAAGTCAAGCTTTCATTTGCTGTGATCTCAGGTTTGTAACTCCTTTCCCCTGTAAAAGCAGCATTAAAAAGTGATGTGTAAAATGAAACATAAGGCATAATGTCTGTCTGGCAATTCAAAGTTTCTAATTCTTTATTCCATAACAGAATCTGATAAAAATCCAGCAATAATTTCCTTTAGCAACAGTAACCAACACCATGTTTTCTCCTTACGTACAGTATTAACTTCTAGAAAAACAGGAGATGGCTAAATTTCCTTTTTTTCTATCATAGGCTGTTGTCATATTCTCTGGAATTTAACATGCAGCTCTTCATATAGCACAGAGATGCTTATGACAGCTGACACAGTGAACAAAGTTATATATATATGAATATTGGCCAGATTTTGCCATGCTCTTTCTTGTGAAATAATATTTGATATCAGATACTAATCAGTCTGAACAAGGAAATCTTTATGTTTTAGGGTTTTTTTAATGCTGCTGTAAATGTGCTTGCTCACCACCCAAGAGGTGATTTTGCATCTAAAGCTAGTTATTTTCAATACTATTTTCAATATTGTTTTCAATATTGTTTCATATATAGGCCATGGCATTCTGTGGCATTTCTCTGATTCATTACTATTGCCTTCACCTGAAGCATTTATTGAATCCTGTTACTAAGCCTGTGACTATATGTTTCCTTTGTGAATGGATATTAAACAGAAACTGGGCAGAGGAGCAGTGGCTGCATGTGCTGAAATCATATTTTCAGGTGATGTTTTGAAGCTGTGATTCTACATCCAATGAAATGTCTGAGTTCAGTTATCAAGGCACATTATTGACAGAGGATAGCTCTTCTCAATGGCTCCAGAACATTAATCTCAGCAGAAATCATGAAAATAACCAGGCTTCTCATGAGGTAAATACTGCAAAAGGCGGCTGAAAACCTGCATGCATAAAATGCACCTCCATAACTCCCAACGAATGCGGAAGCTGTGCCAGAGACTTCAGTGCAGAAGCAGAAGAGAGCTGAAAAGTATTGGCCAGATGTGGTACAAACACTAGTGCTGGCCATGGAAACTAGCAGGGATAGAGAGATATTAGCGGGTTTGACTGCTCTTTTGCAGAAAGAGTGGCATATATCTCTTACTGATACATGCATCCTGATGTGACTCACAGCATCCAGCTGGGATGCTTGGAAACTCTGCTTAACTACTGCAGTGCACAAGCCTGGGCTCATGTCTTTCAAAGCTCACTAACAAGAAGAGATGACATAAAGAAAGACAAAATCCACATTTTTATTTGTCTCTTCACACTGTTCCTTTGTGATGAGTCCTGTAATAGCCAGACACTCCTCCTAGTTGTGTTTCTCCAAATCCCCAGGGGCTCTCCCCAGATCTGGGACTTAGGAACTAAGTAGTGACTCGTGCTTTTGGACAGATTTGTTCACATGCATCCCAAGGTGGATTCAAGAGGCTAGCAGCATCCCAAACAGCCCTCTTCTCTTGTCTGTAAAATGAATTTTTTTAAATGTTACGTAGTAAGACTAGGAAAGAATGGTATGCATTCAGTGTGAAACCTCCCCCTGTAAACTGTGCTCCTTATCAAAATGATTAGATGGTGAGATGATGGGGTGGGTGCAATCTATCTAAGTACCCGTCCATATCCATACATTCCTGTAAAATGACACTGAGCAGGTCTGTAAGTTTTTTCCTATGTGGTTTTATTTTCACTGAGTTTTTATATTTTATGTGTTTGTCTCATTTTTTCCCTTGTGTTTTTTGTTTGTTTGTTTGTTTGTTTTGTTTTGTTTTTGTCTTTTTGTTTGGTTGTTTTTTCTTATTATCTCATTTTTATATTCTTTCTTCATATGTATTTTCAGGAAAAGGAAAATAAGATTCCAGTCCCTGAGTGCCAAAAAGTATCACCGTTCTCCAGATTCAGCTGTCAACAGACACTCAAACCTCTCCACTCCTTGTGTCTACCCAAAGGCACAGGCTACTGCTGCAGACCTGAAAGCAGACTGTCCCCAGTGTGGTCCCTGAGCCAATTCCTTTCTCTCTCAGCAAGGATAATCAGATCGTCTCCACTGTTAGGTGATGAATCTACACTGGGACCTTTGGAGACACCTGCTCATCTGCTGGCTCCAGGTCTGCCGCAGCCAGGGCCAAGCAAACTTCAAAATTATAACTCACAGAAAACTCATCACAAACAAGGGCAGATGACCACAGTTATCTCTGATGAAGTAATATAAGGTCAAATCTTCAACACAAGATAAGTAGGAGTGCTACATTTATTTTCTGGTTGTTGTTTTTCAGGCTTTCTTTCCTCCAGTAAATATCCTAAGCTTTGCCAGCCAATAGGAAATGGAGCCAAAATTCCAATTTCTGTTTCATCCCAATATGACATCCCGAGAGTGCAATTGCTTCACAAGCTGTCAGTCCCAACACAGGGATGCTAAATGGGCCTAAAGAGCTCTTTGAAATCTCAGTATAAATTATCCTTCTGGAGCCAACCAATGCACATTTTCTGTGTTCACATGCTGACAAACTGTGCACATTTACCCTGACTCACACTCCAGCTTTAATGTCACTTTGACAATAAGTAATCTTGGCTACAAGCTGTGTGTGGACAATTACTTGTTCTCCCCATTTCTGCTTCACTCTCATAAACAGTTTTCTGAAATACCCCCAGCTTCGTGATTGCTTCAGGCCAGATGGGGATTTGGACCAAGTGCGGTGCAGAGGGGTCCACCTCACCTTGCCTTGGTGTGGCCATTCCAGCAGTCCTCCTCGACTGACGGACCGGCTGTCACTCGCTCATCCTTGCAGATTGTGTAGGGTAATGTTGACCAGAACTTTTTAGAGAGCTTTAGTTTTTCTTTAATATCTGTTACCTGATTAAAACACAACAAGAGGGAAACAGATTAAAAACATCAGCCACCTTAACTATAACGTTAAACAATACATTGCTTAGGTTTGTAATGGTGATGATGGTGAAGGTTAAAAGGGCTAAAGGTGCTAAAACTTAATTGCCTGTATTTAAAAGCAAGACACTCAACATTTGAGTTAAGAACATACAAACAATCAAAGTCACCTTTTTCCACAGGCAAGACATTAATAAAAACATGTTGCATCTTGCTCTTCCTAGTCTCCATTTGTCTAAGGTTTTCTAAATATACATCTTTTTAAGAATTAATATGCCTCACAGTTTGCTGAATGTGAATTCAGTTAAACAGTGTACATCAGACAAAATGTCTCACCCACCAACTTGGTCACATCTTAGAAAAATATTATATAGAGAGCTACATACATAGGTTCTAAAAAAAATGGTGCAGTGCTGAGCTGATGTTGAACTGATTTAAGATGCGCAGTCTGAATACATTGAAGTACATTTAGATCTCAGCAACAGTGAGAAGCCTGTGTATATACATTCATGCAGAGAGTATATCCTTCTTTGCTGTTAGGTGTAGATAAATATCTGTTGCTGGATACAGAATCTGCATGCAAGGAATGTTAGGACAATATCTAAGCAGTTTCTTTACCTTATAAATTCCTTGAACAATAATTTAATTTGGCATTATTCAGGCAACAAGCAGGAACAAACTGAATTTCCAGCATCAACTTAAAAAATAAATGCTCTGACTAAAATTTTATCAGTCCTTGTTTTGTGTTTGGTATACTAGAGTGGAAAAATCTACCAGAATAGATAGAAAAAAAATCAAAGGACAGACTACAAAGGATGAATGCTGCCACTGTTGTTCTTATGGAAACCTGCATTTCACATTAAATTGTAATAGGATTTAGGGGAGCTTGTTGAATAGCTTTTAAAGGAAATCGCTAAGCTTTGTTCTTTAAAAACCCAAGAAATAAAATCTCTCCATTCTTCCATTCAGTTTTGAGATTGTCTTTTAGGTTGTTGAGGTACAATATTGTACTTGGCTATTTATCTTTTTTATCTTTTGTTCTCAGGACATGATAGCTCTCCAAGCAAATGGCCCATGCTGCTTTGCCATGCTTAAACTCTGTGGAATGCCACTTTATAAGCTAAGAGATAGAAACAGCTGAGGATGTTATTTCAGAAGCACAGTCTGAATTTTCATCTATAAAAAGTAAGTAGGACAGTATTTGGCTGTATGTGTTGTTGATGGTGTTTCTTGCCGTGATAGACACCTGATAAATCTCCTCCACACCCCTTGCCAAGCTCCAGTTGCTTTGTTTTCATATGAGACACTAGTAGCATTTGCAAGCCTTTAAAGTCTCAGTGGGGAGCCCTGTCAAGCCAAAAATTAAGTTCCAGTTTACAGGCTGCGGGCAAGCCTTTGGCAGAAAGTGGAAATGGTCTCAGAATGCCTGTCATGTCTGATGTCTTTGGTCCATGGGACCAGGGTTTTTGGGCAGACAGCAGCCCCTCTTCTTCCTCTTCTGCCCATGCTGAGGGTAAAGACCCCCCAGTTGGGACTGGGACAACTAACCAGCACAAGCAACTCTATGAAACTGTCCATTGTTGACAGCGTGTAAATTTCTGCTAAGACACAGTGTGGATAAAGAAATCCTATAGAAAACACATGGAGGAGAGTTTATAGGGAGTAGGGTCCATTCATGTAAGCTTGGTGACTGTGAGAGTCAAAGGGATAGATTTTCTTTTTTATTGCTTGTGCCTAGGTAACTATTTACACAAGCAATCTGATTGATATTGGTGGTGAATAATTAGCTTTCAGAGCTTGCTGGAAGTTACTCTAAGCTATTGAAAACTCAGATGTTTTAGAGTTACATTCAGATTTTGACCATAATCAAATTAAAACTGGTGCTGTAGGACTTGCAAACTTCTGTTTTGAACCACAAGTTATTCAACACCTATTGGAAAGTGATTTTCCCCCCCGGCCCTTCTAAGGACAGCAATTTGGAGTACAAACCTTTCATTTTCCTAGAAACCAGCAAAAGAACGGAGAGAGGTTCTCACAGCTCACACACTGCACATGCTCTCCAGATATTCCCTCAAAATCAAAATGAGGGCTCCCATTCCCCAATTACTTTCGAAGATATTAAATGATGTTTGCATACGCTATATTATTAAATTTCCTAACAGTATTTTTTTCATTTGTCTTACAGAAGTACACCTGATAAAGTAATATGGTCTTTACTCAGGATTATTGGTAAATGACAACTAATTAAATCTCAGAGACATCCTCCTGAGGTGTCATTCTCATTTTAGTGCCTCGGGTAAACGAGACATTTGCATGACTCACAAAAAGCATCAATAGTAAAAATGACTACAGCTTAGGGAAAGGTTCTCATTTGCAGCCTCTCTAACATGCCTTCAATTCAGGTGCATTTTAACAGTTTTTTATCACCTTCAGATATTTCCCTTCACAGCTATCCCCCACTGCCCACCTCCCCTGTTGCATTATTTCACCATGGAGCTTTAAACAACTTGTGTGGACTCAGCCCTAAAAGTCTTGCCCTTTCCTGCTGTCTGACCGGACCACTGTCAACCTTCAGCTTTTGGCAGTGGACTTTACACACGTACCTGAGTGGTTTCTTGAACCTCATCCTGAAACTTTCTGGAAGTGCAAAATGGTGACTGATGGCTTTGAAAACAGGATTCTGAACACTGATTGATTCATCTCCTCTTTCAGGGAGTAGCCTGATGGTCACGTTCTCTTCTGTATGATGAATGTTCAGGCAGGCAATGACTTTGGAATACTTTTAATTTAACTTTAAACGCAGAATAGAATTAGGTGATGTAATGCCTGCCATGACATGTAAAACTTTTGCCTGTGGCTTTCGGAGGTTTCAGTTCTGGGATCTTGTCAACCATGATCACAGAAATTTTCTTATTAGTCCCCATGGTTATGTATGTTCCTCTGTACATTGTTTTGATTACCACCAGCATTTTAAAAAATATGTAACAGATGTATAGACCCTTGGAAATGAGATAAAAACCACTAAGGATTCCGTTAACATTGCTTGCTTGTGATTTACGAATTCAGACTACTGTATTCCCCTGGTAACCTGTGGCCTTGTAAATGATTCCTTGGTATTTCCTATTCTTTGAATTAAACATTAACTTTCAAGCTTGGTTAGACATCTGTGGAAACATTAAACATGAGACATATGTAATTTTGATATTGTACATATTTCCTTTCCGCTTCCTCTAGCAGAGATTTATAGGGATTAAGACAGCTGGATCTCTTTGGCTGTTGTTAGCCTAGATTTCCCTAGTTATCTTCCTGACATAACCCTGATCTTATATTGAAATATCTTCTTTTTTCAGCTACTCTGAAGGTATGAAACTTGTTTTGGATCAAAATACTTTCTCATAAGAAAAAAGATATAGCAAGAGTCAAGCAGAGTTTCATCTTTAATTTATTTAGATATATATAGAAATGGATATTAAAATAGTCCCACCTTGATCTATAATTGCTAACAGAAATAAGGCATTACCACGTAAGTGAAAAAAGTTAAATGTTTGCATCATTTGTAAAGAGAAATTTACATCCAGAGTTACAGGAATGGTATAGTTACATGCCCTAAACTGAGAAATACAGTTGATTTCTTATTTCTGCCACTGACTTCTTACACAACCAAATCAGTCATGTAGGTCATGCAATTCCTCAGCAGAACTTGGAAGGGCATCCATGAATTCAGTTCCTGTCCTACCAGTATGGGCTCAGTTATAAGGTAAATAAAGCTGACCAATGTTTCTCTCTTCTTTACTCACCTTGCACCATAAAGTAATGAAGCGAGCTAAAAGCAAGCCTGTCACTTTAGTAGGAATCAGACCTTAGCATTGTTTGGTTTATATCAGGGCATCTGGGTAAATAGAAAGACTGACCAGAAGAATTCAAAAAAGCATTGAAAATACTATGCAAAACTAAAAGTGAGATGACTAAAAGTCCTCCTCTGGCAAGTCCATGTCTTATTCCTTCCAGATTTGTCATCTCCACCAATATAATCTCTACTCTCACAGATAGAGGAATATCACAAGATGCTAACATAGTGTTCAAAGATGGTGAAATGCATCCAAACCTGACACAGGTTCTATACAATAAATGAAATCAAATACTCTGGAATCTTCTTTTTGTTAAGAAAAAATGGTGCTCATTAACATCTTTTCTTCTTCCTGGTGTTTTTGCATTGTATTTTTTTTTCTTGTTTATTCTGCAATTTGGAAAGATTTCCTTATTGAAATGCAAGCAGAATACTCGTCTTGCCTTTCTGTCAATACCTTCTGCCTGTGGATGCTCAGAAACAACTTGATTCAAAGCCCCAGTGAGAGTTAAGCCTTTATGACCTGGAAAAATGTACAGACGTTTCTGGTTGTTCACTGGACGCTGTTTCTCTGGTGTATCAGGGTGCCGTTCTGGTTGCCGTACCATGGGTTTGTTATCTGGCGGCATAGACACTTGGAAGATGTTTCAAGTAATTTCAGGGACTTCAAGGTGTGTATGTAAAATGTATCCTACCAGTGTGTCACACTGACAGAACAGCTACAGACAGCGAGTAGAAAGCAGCCTGGCATTTTGTCTCAAAGAAAAGACATGAAAGCAGCCATCACAAACCATGTTCACATCTGTGTAGTTTCTTTAGTCACTTACTCCTTTGCCCTTTAATTCACAAACAGCATTTAACTAATGACACTTCTTTATTCTACATTATTTCCAGTTGAAAAACTAGACAGTTTTCTTCTGCCTGATCCTTGCTTTCCCCTGGAACTGTCTAAGACACCCAGCCATGCACCCAGCACCCTTGCAGTCCTAATTAAAAATGATGTAGCCCTTGGACAATTGTGGGTAGCTGCATAATGGATTTATGGATAGGGTGCTTGACCACCTGAGCCACACGTGGGCTTGTAAAGAGCATGCCCTTCATTGTGGACGTGGCCAGGTAGGAA